GGGCGATTATAGTAGAAACTCGGTTCCAGAACTCGCTGCCATATTAAGTATGGTACCCGTGGTATGAAACATGTAATAGGAGAGAGGGAAAAATAAAAGCACAAACTTAAAATGGATTACCTTGGATTCAGTGAATGTGTTAAAATCACAAATCGTAGACGTGTTAATAAAACTTTTTAAATTTTGGGAGAATGGAATTCTTGGCGAGAGGCTAAGAAAGGAAAAATAATTTTAGTGTAGTTCGTGACGGGTATTCTTATTTCCTTTTTCTTTTATGTTGAATTTGGTTAAAACGCCGCTCTCCCTTTCGATAAGTTTATATTTTATTTTTTGAAAACGATTTATCTTACTTTGTGAGTTCATTTCTTCCATGTTTGATTCATAGAGTTCCCTTTATTTGAGTTTTCGTCTGAGCAGGAGTACACATGAGACACGAATAACTTTTCATTTGAAATTGTTAGCATAAATAGTGTTCTCTCCAAAGACCTCAGTAGGATTTTAAAAGGAAAACAAAAATCCTCGAATAGTCCTTACAGTGCAGCTTTTCAAACTGCACCTTGCATATAGACACAATTCCCATTCCATTTTAATTATTGTTTGACTTCGATAAGAGAGCAAAATCTTTGAAGAAACCCTTCCACTTTGTCTTTGAGTATACTTTTTATTTACAAATGATAACTTGGTTTCTTGGTTTCTCATTGCAGCTGAAGAGAAAAACAAAGGCAGATTGCCAATCCAAGATTAAAAAATCCCTCAACCTCATAAATTCTGTTTGGACATTCCAAAATAAATAAGTTCAGATCAGAAGGGAATTAAAAGAATTCTGTTATTCAGCTCTGTGAAGGAAACCCTGCTTTTCAGCAAAGATATTTTAGGCTCCCTCTACGCTAAGCTGGAGAAATTTGAAACACAGCAATCGCCGGCGGCAGAAACGCTTGTGCGCGTCATCGATTGTTAGAGTAAATAAATACATAATTGTGAAGTCATTGCTTTCGAAAAGGTCCGTTTTTAAAGTGTTTCCCTTTCACACAAAAAATATCTCCGGTTCGAAAAGCGTTTTCGAAAAGCTCCGTTTTTTGGTGGACATTTTTTTCCAGATTAGTGTGGACGGTAGGCTTAAACGTGGAAATAAAATATTTCTACCCGAAGACTTCACAAACGCCAAAAAATATATAACTGTACTTCAGCAAAGTTTTTTCTTTCGTTCTAGGTTGGCAAGAAACGGCACTTGAAATATCTCACATGAAGTTAGCAACACTGTCAATTGACAACATTATTAGCACAACGAAAAAACAAAACACTTATCGTTTGCTATTTTGCAAGGAAAAATAAAAACACTTGAATGACAGCAAATTGCTGGTTCCCCGCCAATAGGGCACTTACCGGGCTCAAGTCTTCTTATCTTATCTTATATCTGGCGTTTCTCAAAACATTTCTAATCACAGTGTCTTTAAAACTCAATGCAATCTTCTCTGAATACTTACAGGATCTGTGTTCAAGCGTATCTTAAAATCCGGTCCGGCTACGTGCATTTAAGGTAACTGCTTACTTAGCATTATATAATATTGTGCTAATGTAATGACGAAATTAGTTGATCAAATTGTGATAAAGTAATTTAGGTCAATGCACAAAAAAACAATAACGTTTCCCCAATTAATGTCCCCTTTTGTAGTCAAACTGTAAAGGAAATTAAGGGCTGAACTCATTTAACAGGGGAAGTAAGAAAGGTGAGCGATCTGAAAACACG